CACCTACCTTAAGTGGAAGAATACTATATACTTTGATAAGCAGAAAATTGGGAAAAAGTGTTAGAAAATCAATACAAAGCACTTTAGTTCTTTAAGCTTATGGCAGACAACCAAGGAGCTTTAATTTGTCAATATACCTTCAGGAGAGTGAGCAGAGTGGCCTGATATGACTTCTGGAAAAAACACCTAGTGCTTGCATTTTCTACCAAGAAAAAAGACCATGACACAGAATAACACAATATACTGGAATATTGCCAGATTTTTTTTTTACATGAAAAGCACTTTTTATATAAATACTGGGAGAAGAAATATGTTTGTAAAGAAAAAATCAGGAATCATATAATAATGGTTTCCCCATTGTAAAAATGGACTTAGATTTTTCAAGATACATAGATGATGTCCTCTATGAGAAAATCCTGCTTATCAACAGAATAACCTACAAATTTTTTTTATATTAATTCAAGTTTTAAACATTTCAATAGCACCCCAGAAGGCAATAGTTGTTAAAAGGGTTCTCTGCTGAATCTGGAATAAGAGGTATCTTGTTTCATCATCTATATGTTCTCCCTACAGGAAAAARTCATGGTATTTTTCACAGAAGTTTGATTCAATCCATGTGAACTATAGTGAACTATATAGACAGATTATGACCGTGTTCATTGCCAGGAGAGTAAGATGCACTGAAAAGAAATTTCATTTTAATGCACATTGAGTTTTTTGAGAAATAAGGTTCTCTAGTTCTGAAAGATGCATAGCTARCAATTCTCAGCTCCTCCTCTGAAAGGGTGACCAACCTTGAAATGCACTACTCCTGAGGCTGACAATGACAYCTTTTCTCTGAAGCAGTGACAGGACTGTGACAGCTCAGTTCTTACAAGACTAGATTTCCAGACTAGACTGCACAGACTAGAAAGACAGAATGCCATCCACAGGGACRTGGACAAGGTCAGGAAGTGGGCTTTATGAGAGGTTTAATGAGACCAAGTGCAAGGTGCTGCATTGGGTCAGGGCAACGCTTGGTATCAATCCAGGCTGGGGGATGAACAAATCCAAAGCAGCTCTGGTGGGAAGGACTTGGGGGTGCTGGTGGATGAGAGGCTGGACATGACCTGGAAATGTCAACCTGTAACCCAGAAAGCCAAACGTGTCCTGGACTGCATCAAAAGCAGCATGACCAGCAGGGCAAGGGATGGGATCTTTCCCCTCTGCTCCCCTCTGATGAGAGCCAACCAGAACACTCCATTGAGCTTTGGGGTCCCCAGCACTGGAAGGACGTGATCTATTGGAGCAAGTCCAGAGGAGTGAGGCCAAGATGGTCAGAGGGATGGAGCACCTCTCCTGTGAGGAAAGACTGAGAGAATTGGGATTGTTCAAGCTGGAAAAGAGAAGGCTTTGGAGTGACCTAACTGAGGCCTTTAAGTACCTGAAGGCAGCCTACAAGACACTATTTACAAGAGCATGTAGTGACAGGACAAGAGGGAATGGCTTCAGACAGAAAGGAGTAGGTTCAGGTTAGATGTTAGGAAGAAATAACGAGAGGCTGGTGAGGCACTGGAACCCAGGCCCAGAGGAGTTGTGGGTGCCCGATCCCTGACACTGTTCAAGAACAGGCTGGATGGAGCTTTGAGCAATCTGGTCTAGTAGAAGATGGCCCTGCCCATGGCAGGGTGGTTGGAACTAGCTGATCCTTAAGGTCCCTTCCAASCCAAGCCATTCTATGATTTTATGGTTTTATCCTTTTACTTTTTTTTATTTGTTAAGACTATGATACCTTTCAATTAATTTAATGAAGAACTGAGAATGATACATACACAAACACACATATATATAAATATATACAGCTATATATTCACTTATATACATGTATATATTCACCAAATAAATCTGCACATGTGGAAACCATCTGTGACATCTGGTCATTTACTAAATCATATATATATTTATATGGACACATCACTCCAAATGTATTYACTCSAAACTTCTTTAAGATCATGATCCTTAGAGGTGAAAACTGCTGAGCTCCATCCATGCAGCACTAGGCTTTCATTAAGAAATTCAATTCCCACATTACTTTTCCATTGTGCACCTTTAGGTCCAAGTACATGCCTCACCATCTGAGAGAAAACAGCAATCAGTGAGCACAGTGAAGTGGCAAATATTAAATCTATATTATGCACAAAGAGATATTGTAAGTTGAAGCCATATTAAAACTTTAGTGTAGTGTARTGAATCGTAGTTCCTCTACTGACACCAACAGGCACTAGACCAGCCAAGGAGGATATTTCTTAACTCAAGGTTAGAYAGCAACATGCTGCTAAAAAAACACCCAGAATTTTTTTTTGCATCTTGCACTCTGCTTRAAAATTTGCCCAAGATCCAGTTTCAAAGACTGTCATCAGGAGAGTAAGYAAATGTCAGCTAACAGAGTTTCTAGTAACTATTTCCAGAGAATATCTGGTAGCTAGATGGTGACATGTTTCACTGTGATTTTTTTAAATCACAGCTTCTGATTGAAGATCAGCATCTTCATATAGTTTGCACCAATAGTAAATAAGAGTCTCTCTCCTGTGGATCATTAACCTGATAATACTCAAGCTTATACAATTTGTTTAACCTCTTACTGTAGAATTGAATTAAGATCTGGAAATAAATTTGTATTCTCAATTAAAGGATTAAATCAAGATACAGTCTTGGACATTACTGTATATTCCCACTGCATCAAATGAAGTCAGAAAATTAAATGATTGTGAAGTCTGCTAAAATCTGGCTTGATAAAATCTTTTAAGGAGCAATAATTGAAATCACAGCTTCCTAGGCTATGATGTATGAATTCAATGGGATGCAAGACGCTTCCTATACAGCTCCCAGGTATTTAATAAAGTAGAACCACATGTTCAAAGTGTTTCTCTTCATTTATTTAAGCTATGTTGTTACCTTTTTAAAAAGCACCTGCACAGACTGGTGTCTAGAATGTCCTCTAGAAAATTTGAACTTGTCAAAACCAAATCCTTCTTGTAGAAATGTGAGTTGCACAGACWCAAATTCAGAGCAAAATACCAAAGATACAGCAACACTAAAGCTCAAAGCATCCAAACAGCTYAGCAGTTTAGGCAATCAAATAAATTCAGCTTCAAATCTCCTCATTTTGCAGGTCAAAAGTTTGAAGTCAGTTTTACATTCAGTGAAGCCTCTTAACTATTCAGTTTATTAAGTCAGACTTTCTTACTATCTTATTATACATAGTGAAATCAGTCCAACATGAGATTTTGCTCTAAAACTGTAACTAGATAAGATTGTACTCTTTAAGCAGCTCTGTACAGAAATACTCATGCTAGGCCAGATTGAGCTACTTCAGATAGCAAAAGGAGCAGAGGACAAGTAACTCTTGTTTGCATCAACAACAACATTTAAGACAAATCTTCCTTAGCTGCATGACAAGATGACAACCAGAAGATCAACCACTTTTAGATGAGCTCTCGCAGAGCTAAACTGGGAAGAATTTCATGGGAAACTTCCATGAAGGATTAAAGGAGCTAGCAGGCGCTGGGAGTTTTTCTAAAACTCTCTTCCTGGAAGCACAAAAACAGTTCATCCCCTTTAAAGACAGAGAAGCAGGCAGAGCAAGAGACCACCTTGGCTTAACTGTGAGCTTCCAAGTCTGCTCAAAAGAGAAGTGTACCAGGGTTGGAAAAGCAGACAAAYGCCTGTCAAGAACTACAAGGGCACTGCCGTGATCCACAGAAATGCAGACAGAAAGCTAAAGCTGTGCTCAAACAGAAATTAACCAGACATATCAAAACCTACAAGAAAGGGTCAGTAAAGAGATTGGAATTAACTCAYAGATCCTCAGTCAGCTATTCAGGAACAACCCTCCAATAGGACTAATGGGGTGAAAAAAACACCACTACTTTTAAAATTAGGTAATTTTAATTCATATATGTGGTATTTTTTTTTTTAATGAAATCATAACCAAAGCTACCAATCAGACTGGCTAAGAATCAAGAGGATTTTTCTACAAGTAAGGAATTCTGGTCTTCTGTTTGTATTCACTGTAGTCAACTCAGGTCCTTCTGAGTTGCTTTTGTTTGGTTGGTTTTGGTTTTGCTTCCTCTCAGATTCATCATTCACACCACCATACATCTTATTGGAAAGTGTGTCTTTTATTTTACCTTGAATGTCAAGCATATTAACAGTCTCTGATAGYAGGACAACATAAAAACAACACATTAGAAAAAGTGACTCATAAAGCATCAGTTAAGGACTCTGCCTTAATTTAAGAAATGGATTTTAAATTCTCGTGGGAACTGTGCCTTTGCTCTTTATGTAAAAGCAAGCAATACACTTCATTAGCAAAGCATACAATGAAAATTACACACAACTGGCTTAAAATTAAAAAAGGAAACAGCATAACAAACATTACAGCTGGTCAGCCACCAGTTAGACCTTTCTCCTTATAAATCTGCTTCCTCAATTTGGCAACACAGTCTTGAGGAGAAACAGCAAAAGGGTACATAACTTGATACTTCATTRCACATAACTGGTTACACTGGGGTTGTGCAAACAATTTTAATCTTTAATTTTGTCAAATCATAGCTACAAACCAGCTATGACAATCTTTTGCTCTTTTGTATTTTCAATGCTATTTTCATGTGAGTTGAATGACCCACATGGAAACTTTTGATCTTTAGTAGCTGACAGTACCGTCTTCAATGAAACCTCGGCCCTTGAACCTCTAGTTCTGCCTTTGCATTTCACCTTGGTTTTAAGCAGAGCTATATGGTAAAATAGGTGATATTTCTTCCATGATGAGTCCAGATATCTCTCTTAATTTATAAAAATCTGACACACACTTTCAGTCACAAAACACCTGGAGTTATGACATATGAAATGTACACAAGGCAATGAAATTTGCACAAATATGAAATCAAAGCCAGCCATACTCTTTCAAAATCAAATATTATGTATGTTGGCTGCATGTGAAAAATTTCACAGTTAGTTATTTGTACCTGACCAATGCCATTTAACACCTAATTCTGTTCCCAGTGGTGTTTCCAGCAATTTTGCAAATGATTTCCTTCTACAAAAAAGAGGTAAAAGGAGAATGACAGGACAGTTAAATACTAAATATCAAATATTAATTTTATTTYTATTAAAACAGATAATCTTTTTAAACACTTAAGATTCAACCAGTGCAAGGTATAATAGAAAGTGATTGGAGTTCTGGATTTCTTGTCTAAATGAATGTATCACCTTTGGGATCATTATTTATAATGCTTTTAATGCTAGAGGTAMTTTTGTTCCTTCTTTGGGATTATTGCTGGTCACCTTCCTGAGATTTGAAAGACCATGAAAGATAAGCACCGTATTATTCCCCTAAATTATCATATTACAAATTAATAATTTGGTCCTTTTCTAAATGGATCTCTCCCCACAATTACACTAAAACACAGTGATGGGTCACAAATTCCAGGGGGTCCAACTGGTCCTGGCATTCCTGGAGTGCCACGATCTCCATCTTTACCAGGCTGCCCACGCTCTCCAGGACGTCCTTCCATACTCATCCCTGGTGGACCTTCAGGACCTTAAGAACACACATGCAATAARTAAATAAATACATTGCTATTAAAATGAAAATGAGCAACTATGGACCCACAACGTTCCCACTCTTTGGCACAGTATGCAGATAAAGAATATTTCATTTCCTGCAAAAGACACTTTTTGTCACAAACTGCTTTTATATTTATATAAACATGATATCTTACAAAGTTTTTTTTTAAAGCACATGGAAAACACTTTCAATAAAAAGTAATGTTTAAAGGAAAATAGGAAAATCTGGTTGTGTGCACTATTCTACTTTATCTTACAAACTGGAAGCACCATGACAAAAATCAGTCCCCCTATTTCTATTTGTTTCTCGGGCTTTGGATCAGGCCCTAATACCTCTTCCAAATACTCAACTTTACTTTTTGTATGCATACACTAATGTTAGGAAGAATATTTTCTCTTACTAAGCAATACATAAAAGTCACAGGATCATATTAGGGCTCAGTTTTCAGATAATGGTTGACTTCAGGATCCATCTCTCCAGAAAAAGCAGTCTCTATAGAGATAGATGTTATTTTTATAGAGACAGTCTCTACAGGACCTGTCTTATATTAAATAATGTATTATATGGCAATTTATAAGGTATGCRAGAGACAGGATTTACCCTAAAACATATATGGTAATTAGGATGTGTAAAAACTTCGTAAGTTTTTCCAAATCACATCAACATTTTTTCTAAAACACATTTTAAAAAATTATTAGCATGCACTGAATCCRCACACCTGAACCATCCCTCACCTGGAGGTCCTGGGGGGCCTTGGATCCCAGGAACCCCAACTCCTTGATTGCCTTTTGCACCATTTTTCCCTGGCAGTCCTGTGAATTAGCAAACACGTGAATATCTTTGCACATCATTTTCATTCAATGAAGGCAGGAAATCAGCATTTGATAATATTTATTGAATTAAATATGTAATATTTCAAAAGTAAATAATGGGATATCAAAGAAGCCTTTTTTTGTAACCTGTACAGTGTGACAGGGTTCCAAATTATCCTAATTTCTACTGAATTTAGAGCTGATGTAGCAACAGTTAAGCAGACAGCCTCTGTCAGCGGAGGGAATACATGATAGAAATCTGCTGTCACTGCCTTCCTATCAGTAAAGTTTTTAATATGTTGTATGAAGGAGGTATAAATTTTTCACCACAATCGCTGTAGAATACAGAATATATACAAAATGTTTCAYGACACACCTAGCAGAATTAAATTTCCACCAAAGAACTAGTGAGGGTCAAAATATGAGCTCTCCTATACTAGTACAACCCAGWAAATTCAGCCTCCCCATAGAAACATCTATCTAATTTTCCAACTTCTATGGAATAACCAGAACTGCTAGTGTCAACTCCAGAGGCAAACTGCATATTCTCCTACTGGAGATTAAATCATAAAAGCACTACAGGCAAATCATCATTACATTCAAAATTAATTTGGTATGATAGGTCACAGTTAATAAGTCACAAAGAAAGTAAATATTTACCATTTCTCAGCTTACCATTGGCACTTTACTAGCTAGCTGTATTTCATATGGCTTTCCTGATTATTTTGATGCTACCAGTTACCAAATTGTAGGCTCCACCCAGTTTCTTGTTCTAGTTCCAGAATATACATGCAAACTTAACATGAAGTCTGMAAATACATCACAGAAATAAGCCGAAATGCTTGGAAAGCTGAGTTACCTGACAACATAAACCTTAACCTGCCTAAAAAGAATCCAGAATTAAGTCTAAGAAAATCATAAAGAAAGAAGCAAAAATCCTTTCGAGATACAGAGAACAAAAGGAAAATAAGTCAGGAAATCAGAGTGAATACAAAAGCTGTTTAATGTCAAAAATCAGCACAGATAGGAAGGAGCCAATGAATAAATACTGTTCCATAAAATGGCAGAAACAAACAAATTTGGAAGAAAAAACAGAAAACAGGGAAATACTTTGAAATCTATGTCTAGGCATATTTGATCTAAAAAAAATCATCTAAATGCAGGTTGAAATATTTACATTAGTTTAAGAACTSTCTAAAAGGATCAAAACAGAGTTTGACAATAATAGAACTGAACAGTAACTATCTTGMTGCATTCTTGTGTTCTCTCTTCTGTCACATGTTCCCCAAAAACAGCAGAATGTCCACACTGCGCCATGTTGGCAATTCCACTCAGTCATACAGCTGAGTATGCTTACTCCACCCTGCATTAATCCCATTCAAAACGAGAAGCAGAAAATCGAGTCATAAAGGTCTTTGGCATCATGACACGTGCACAATGTACCTCTTGTCCCASGAGCCCCAGGGCGACCTGGGATGCCCATCAGCCCTGGAATGCCATCATTCCCTGGTAAACCAGGAAACCCTCTCGGGCCTTCAGGGCCTCTTGGACCTGGTGGTCCTGGAAGTCCTGGGTGAGAACTTTGGGASTGACAGTGGTTACAGTTTTGCAGTCTTCCACTCTGGAGAATGGCAGGCAACTGGGCTGGGAGAATTCAAACAAAAAATTGCTTAAAGTGTTGTAACAATAAAAGTATTGCCCTCAACACTAATACAAAATCAGTTCCCTCTCTTAAGAGAATATAACATCTTTAGGAAACAAGATGGTAAAGTATAGAACCCCTGATGTAGAAATATAGTTCCACATGTGTAAGAAAACAAATGATAAATCAGCAGTATGCTGATTTAGGAAGCATTGCTGTAATTATCAGGAAACTTCTTTCGCATTTCAAACAAGGAAACAACAGTAAAGAGGTTTCAAACTTACTTCTCAGTACATCTGAACACACGTGTCGAATAAATTCTTCTGAAAATTCTCGTGCCTGAATTGAACAGAGAACAGTTAAAACAACAGAGAACATTAATTTCTTTGTGGTTCTTAAGGTACCCAAAAGGAAAAGGTTGAAGTCCTATACATACAGGTTTTCCATCTGATCCAGGTGGTCCTGGGGGTCCTCTATCACCAGGCTGACCTCTGAGACCAGGAGGTCCAATCAAACCCTGGATACCAGATTCTCCTTTCTGTCCACTGATGCCTTGAATGCCTGGATCTCCTTTCTCACCTTTCTGGAATGAAAAATCGATGAAAAGCCAATTGTATCTTCACAGATCATTTGGAAGCTAGGTAGCACCAAACAAACTTGTTCTGACACAATGTCTATTGATGATCTTCATAAAGTTAATGTGGTGTCAGTGAAAATTAACTTGATATTGATGAGATCTATTTGCTAAAAATGCACTGAAGTTTTCAGATTCCTTAGTAACTTAGTTTTCAGATTCCTTAGTTTCAGAAAAAATTACCAAATAGAACTAGAAATAAATTAACTTTTCTTAACTTAAAAGACCCATTTTACTTACCAATTAATAATAATTAACACATGGAAGGAAGGGTTTTATCTACTTTGCCCTGAGAATTAGAATTTTTTTAATAGTATGTTAAAATGCTTAGAAGGCTGGAAAAATTGGATATGAAATTCAGACACCACTGAAGTTCTTGGAAACATACTATAATAATCAAGCCTTTTACCTTACATTTGTCGTGTATTTGACAAAGGAAAAAATAATTCGATTTCAGTTAGGGAATTTTGTTTCTTTTTTCCCCATCTGACTGATAGTAACTGTAATATATTTGCTTCCCTGGAAAAGGTTAAAAAAATGCTGGAAAATATTCTGATGTATCTTCAACAGAGCAATGGCTCTATATATTAAATTACCTACTGCAATAGTTCATGTGGAACTCTTTTCCTGCTCGGGAGCCAACAAAACATCAGTATGTGCCCAAGTTTCAAGTCAGCATAGTACGTTTGCTCCCTTGTGAGTTTTCTCCTTCCATTTTTGCACAGCTTCTGCATAATGTTATCAGTCGCTGCAAAATTTTCTTTTTCCATATTCAACTATTTTAGATGGAATMGTGAGAATAGGACTATTATATATGGCAAATGTATTGAAGCAACTAATAGAAGTTCAAGAGCTCCTCATGTATACAGTCTCCATAGATTTACTCTGCATTTCAAATTATGGTATTTATATTATTTTGAAAAAAATCTTATATTACTTATCAAAATTCTTCAGATCAGAAAAATTCAAAGCTTCCTGGCTTGGTCTCTGTTAGACACAATGCCCAGAGTTCTCCACCTAAATTACTATAAGTTAGCAAGCTTTAAATACAGTGTCATATAAGTCTGTTTTATGAGCTAGCCCATAAAATCATGAGAGTTCATGCTCTTGAAGAAAGAGAAATGAGACAAAATGTGACAGATGTCAGTCAAGTGCCTCAGAGAACTGCTGCAAAGATGGCCAGTTCAGGTGCATGACCTGAAAAGCAGACCACACCTTCAAAAATCATCTATTAATTCAGATAAAACTTCTTTCAAAGTTGTACTTGTAATTTATTTTCTTGATATTGTCATCTAGAATRTTATAGTCACAGAGAATTGATCCTYTTGGTTACCYCATGTAGATTTGTACTCGTTCATTTCTATTACATAATTGTAAAGGTGTTTTTTCATTTAAAGAGTCAGCAAGGATAAGAGATAAACACAAGGTGCTTATGTAGCTACCTATGGCTATACTAGAAATAGTATGTGCTGAGATCCAAAATCATGCTGGTTTGATAGCCAGGAGGGGTTTGGGTTTTTGGGTTTTTTTTTTTTTTGTTTTAATTTTAATTACTTTTACCACTGTGGACTATATTTACATGAAAAACTTGCAAGTTGAGCTATCTGAATTAAATGTTCAAGGGGATAGAAAGCATTAAGAACCAGAGAATGGTGGGAAAATGGCATCTACTGCGGAAAAAACATTAGAGGCAAGAAGCCAGTATGAAAACACCAGGAGAAAATGTTGGAAGCATCAGCAGAACTGCCTGAAGAACTTGCCAAGAAGCAAATGAAACTGCAGGGGGAAAATTTTCTGCAGTATATCCTGGTCTTTTAATGCTCAGCCACATCCCATGTGTGGCCTTGTTTGYTGACCCTTGCTATTGGCAAAGAAAAGTTAAGAAAGGAAAAAAGCTCACTAAGTGCTGAGACTTACAGACTGAAGAAACTTTTTACTGAGAAATCAGAGTATAACAAAAAATKTATTTTATATAAATAGAAAATAAACTTATTTTATAGGTCTGATAAGTAAACACAATGACACTATTACAGTTTAATAAATAGCAAAGAACTATTTATATGAGTTACCAGTAGAAATATTACAATAGAAATATATTACAATACTTAGGGAGGTTAATTTAACAGTGTCCAAGGAATCTCCTACCAGTTTTGGCAATAAGTTAGCAAAACACCTATAAGCCAAACTGCAAATGAAGTATTTAACCAAAGAAGCTTATGAAGAAACTTATATGTTAAAATGCATAAATTTTTTTAATTATCAAAATGGAACTCCCAATTAATGTATCCAGCTACTGATATAAAGTGTACTACCACTTTAATGACAACAGTTGAACAAAGAAATGTCAAAATTGATATTTATTTGAAGCACCTAATCTCATTAAACTAATGAGGCAATGCATATTCTGATTTCACTAAATATTGAAATAAAAAATAACCAACAAAATTATTATTTTACATACCAATTTTTAAACAACACGAAATACAAAGATTCTTTTTTCTCTAGTTGATTCCTTTGTTCAACCAGTCCTTCCTCCTATTTTTTTTTTAGTTGGTTTCTTGGCTTTTTAATTCTCTTAAATTATATGCTTGACTTCAATTATTTTTAATGAAATATATATTTCATTCTGTCTCGTTTTAACTAATACTTCTTTCTCTTCTCTGATAATTTCTCTTCTGTTTCTTATAGACATGTGAGTACAGAACTAAGAGTAAACACATATTTTACAGATCACATAATTTGCAGAAACAAATGGAATAATTTTTAATACTGTATTTGTAATTTCAAAATTACTTACCTCTCCTCGTTCTCCACTCAATCCTTCTACTCCCTTTACAAAATAATATGAAAAAGAAATTTAAAAAGCAGGCTGAACCAAATTACTTGGAATCAAAAATTAGTATTTTTGCCCTTTGTTTTCAGTAATCGATCACAAATGTTAATTTTTAAAGATTCTCTACTATAGTGCAAAAAATAAAACTGCATATAATGATGAAAAATTTATAACAGGGTGAATGAAGACTTCAAKATTACCTTAAATATAATGTAGCAAGAGGATAAGTTGGGAAAATATTCCACATATGATAAACATAGAAACATAATAGAGACTTAAGAGACAAAAYCTTATTCACTTTACAAAAGAAATAACATGTTGTATTCTAGAAGAAGTAAACTCCTGATTCTAACTGTTCAATACTGCCTTACTAGGCAGAAATTAATTTCAGAGCCTTTGCAATACAGTGGTAAGGCAGATTTTGCATGCTGGCAAATGATTTCTGCCGAGTGGTTCAATGGTGTTATTGAACATTAGGTTCCATGGCAAGATGRCAGTTCACTTTTCTGATTCACTCTTATGGACCAGGAAGTCTGTACTGTGTCTTGGAGTCTTGAGAAACCATGGAAAGACCTTGTGTTGTCTACCAAATGACTGATTTTTTTGGTTGCTGACCAAACCAGACAAGCATGTGAAATAATTTTAGACTCAGTCTGCATTATTTTTTCAGCTTTCTCCAAACAAACAAGCAAAAAAAAAAAAAAAAAACAAAAAACAAAGAAAGCAAGCAACAGCAATTCAGTTGCATCATTCTATTTGGAAAAATGTTGTCTTTCACTATCACATTGTTTTCCCTTATGATTAAAATAACAAAAATATGAAAAAATTGTCAATTATTTGCAAAAAGAAAACCCAGACAGTTTAAATTGTAAAATGTTAGATCAGGACATTACATTTGGTTAAGTCAATGACTRGTCTTTTAGTTTAATCTATTTCTTTTTTAAAAAWTCTGTTCATGTTTAATAATGAACTATTGTCAACCTATGTATCTCTGAGAGTGTTAACTAACACACAGTCTAGATCTCCTGGCCAGGAATCAGGTCCTTCTGGCTAGACAGGCAGCTGTATCAATGTTGTAATTCTGAAAAAAGCAACTGTGGCTTCTTTCCAAGTCTAGGTTTAGATATGCACCTCTAAAAAAATACTTCTCTGTTCAGACACGACATAGATTATGCAGTTAACAAGTACTTACAAATACTAACAGCTATTTTCTGCAGACTAACAAGATAGCCAACTATGACACAATCACAATACATTTGCCTAGAGCTAAAGAGAAACAACTGGATCTCACTGATTTACAGCTGAAACAGGAAACATCTGTAATTTATGAGCACAGAAGATGTCAATAATGACTCCCAGTGCAGTCTAGGAGGTAATGAATTGTATGAAAGTGTAGCATGGTACATGCGAGATGTTAACATCTCAAGTATCACTCTTATAATCTTCACACAAAAGCCTCTTTGTGTTGTTACCTGAATTTTATATTATGTATAACTGATTTACAAAAATGTTCTATAATTAAGGATTTACTACAATAATAAAGAAATGCACTTATGGTCTGTTTCTCAAGGTATAATATCCCAGAACACAGAAACATGTAGGTTGGAAGTGACCTTGGATTCGACTTCCTTTGCAGAACAGATGCAGYCTGGATCAATTCAACATGCTGCCCTGACAGGTTTTGCCACAATAACTATGAGCAGCCTGCTCCAGTGTTTGACCACCCTCAAAGCAAAATGTTTTTCCTGTATATCAAGTTCCTCTGTTCCAATTCATGTGCATTYTCTCTCGTCTTTCAAGTGTGCACAGCCGAGAAAAGTGTTGCTCCATCTTCTCTGTATGTGTTGTATTTGTTATTTGGAAAATACTAAGAGTGTTTCAGAGGTAATTTATACAAGTATATTATCATGTTATACATAAATATATTTCACCTGATGCAAACACGTACTCATGTTGGTGGAAATAGTGTTAAGAAAAAAATATGAATCATGGTCTCAAACTAGRATCACTGTGGCTCTCCTGAAGTAGGATCACTATTTAAACAGTACCTGTAAGCCTGGATTTCCTTGTCTTCCCTTTTCTCCTTTCAGACCCTTCAGAAAAGAAGCACATTTTCTTAAAATACACATTTATCTGATCCATGAAACTAAACTATAAAAAAAATAACACAAGGAGTTAAATACTAAAACCTTATTCTAAACCAGGACAAATCAGTCTGTAAAGTTACTCTCCAAAGAGATCAGAGCAGAAACTGTGCAGAAGAATAAAATTTCTACCCTGAACACAGAGGAACCTGGTCAGAACCTGAGTAGTGACATGATATTCTTCCTCTTGTAGGTATTTCCATGATTTCAGATAACAAGGAGCAAAATCTCACTTGTTAATAGTAAAGTAGGTAGGCAGAGGCCAGATGGAGTTAYTTGGACTATGTTTCTGTGATCCCGCAGTTTCTAGGGCAGGCAGAGACAGAGCACATCCTGGACAATCCTGGGTAATGTCCCAGGCCTCCAGTGCAGCAGCACAACCTGCAGCCCGGAGCCTGCACTATTGTTAGGACTACAAAGCGCTGCACCAAATGCCATATCCTGCTCAGGCCTCCAGAAATAACAGCTGAAAACTCATCCTGGCTGCACYGGCAGATTTCCTTGAAGGAGGGTTACTGTTGCTATTCAAGTTAACCTTCTCTGGAGCTGAATCTTAAAAAGAACATGTCTGAGTTAACACCTAAGGCTTGTATAAATAGCAATGCCAGATGATTTCATCAGAAATAAAGTTGATATACCTGGGTACCARTGTCACCTTGATTTCCTTTGTCGCCCTGTAAAATATTAGAATGAATTTTACATTAGAATGAAAACATTAGGATGAATTTAAGTCATCTCTAAGACATCTAGTCTTTAATTTAACACAGTAATTACAAGACAAATATCTAACCTTTTCTTAAAGCAAATGAATCACTTTATCTCCATGTACACAAACATTCAAAAAATTCCAGAAAGCTATACTAAGAAAGGAATTTGTCTTCAAAAGAACTATCAAAAAGAAAGTGGATACTCACATATCAAGTGAAAAATTAAAAAATACAACAGGATGAGGTGGCAAATCCAGCAGGATTTTATCTACTTAGTGCATGGGAGTGGAGAGGATGTGGGCAGGAAGGGAGCCCTTTCTCATGGATCAAATTTCAGCTGAATGCACCATTGCATGCAGAAGTTATACACAAAAAACCAAAGAAAAAGTATTTTTATCATCACAAACCCCTCTAAATTTAATCAAAATATTTAAAGACTAAGCTCCATTTCCACACACTTGTTTTGACTCAAAATGTTTGAAGTAAATAATAGTGGGGGGATTTGCAGTCAGTTGGTTAAATGGTGCTTGGAAGTCAGGTATGTAGTTTTATCAACTTGTCTGAACACCATCTAATTGACATCGGAAASAGACAGACAGTGCATGAAAACTATGCATTCCAATTAACAACGGAGGTATAAAATATGTACCCCAAAAATGTGCCTACCTCTCTTCATTAACTGAAAAAGAAACAAAGTTATAGGACATGTCTCTTACTCTAATTCTGACCTCTTATGTTTAAATAGACATAAATCAAAATGCTGGGCCATGAACAGAGGAGCTTAGAAAACAAAAAACAGATCTGCAGGGGATGTGTAAAACTGCATTTAATAAAGAGAATAATTAGAATGGACATTTTTAGGTCTGTTTTGTCAGCTTTCCAGTAAAAGCCAAAACTTTGCGTGTTTGGTTGGGTTTTGGTTTTTTTTTTTGCGGGGGAGGGGTGGAATAAAAGAATGTTTATTTAAATGCTGAACAGCAGTGAAGAGATTTTTCTCATGGCAAAAATTTTCCTGATTGAAAATCCCACAACGTAAGACATGATTTAAAATCATCTATGGTTGAAAGGCTTCACTTTTACTGTCAGATGACCAAACYGCACTTCTCTTCCAGAATAATTCAAGTTTGTCATATTTACAACTTCTAACTCCAGCTAACTYGCATCTTCATATAAAATGRATGACCTTTTCAAAAGCTCCTTAAGTTTACAATTTTAGAGAAGTTTCATAAATTTTAACAAAATCACCTTTCAAAAAATATTATTGCCTTGGGACATGTCCCTTACATAACCCCTACAYATTGAACTGAATATATAGTGATAATGAAACTAATTAAACTGTTATTATGACACTAATTCCATGCTCWACTCAACATAAGGCATGTCCATATATGCATCTACTGACATGTGAAGTATTCTAGTGTATGTAAGACATCTACATAAGGCTGGCATATATGACACTGGAGGGRGAAGACTTTTTTTAATTGCAACATTTGTCTTCCAACCCTCTGTGTGTACTGAAGCCCTGCTTCCTGGGAATTGGCTGGACATCACATGCTGATGGGAAATAGAGAATAAGTATATTGTTTTAATTTGCTTCCATACATGGCCTTCCCTTTTGCTTTATTAAACTACCTTTATCTTGACTCATGAGCTTTTTCCTGTCTTATTTTCTCAGTTTTTCCCTGTTCAGGTGAAGAGGGGAGTGATAGAGCAGCTTGGTGGGCAACTGGCATTCATCCAAGGTCAACCATAAATGCTTTCACATCAAGGGCTTTATCCTTCAGAAGAAAATTTTCAGAAAGGACATATTAGTGCTTTAAATGTATCTAACTACTATCTAATAATAATGTGTTTGGAGAAAGGATTTTTAAAATTAATCATCATTTATGAGAAAAGCACTTCCCCCCCAAAAAGATGCAATTAATATAAAACTGGAAAGAATACTTACCTTTAATCCCTGGATACCTGGAATACCTGGGTAGCCTGGTTCACCTGGAGCCCCTGGTACTCCTAGTTCTCCCTAAGTAATACAATAGCTCTGTGTCAGTGATGTGCTGTGGGTAAAAACACACTGCATGTTTCTCAAGGCTTTGAATATGGTAGTTTTGAACTTTTGGTACGCTTTGAACTATGGTAGTTTGAAATTTTAGAACTGAAGATGATTGAAAGGTCTGGAGGATCTTTGAAGGAATGGTGAACATAAAGAAGTCACAAAAGAGATTCTAATTCTGAACCTCAATTTTCCAGTAGCTATTTTTATTGTCTTTTAATAAAGTTGATGTTTCAATATTAAACAAAAATACTATCTGAAGTAATGGCAATGTTTGCAGGTTTGAACTTAATGAACTTGATTTACATTGCCTAAAATCTAGTATAAAACAAGAAAGAATAAGTCATCAAATTGATTCTGATGCAATTTGATGTCAGCTACTGTTTTACTGTGAAACAAACTGCCTTATAGCTAATCAGGGGAAATAATGGAAAATCATTAAATCATGGAAAAGTAAATAAATCCTTTCTTTAACTAGAATACTTCCAGAATCATATTTACCTTGGCTCCTGACGATCCTGGTTTCCCCTGTATTCCTGGTTCACCTTTATCACCCTATATAACAATGTAGGAGTGTGGCTGATGCATCATTATGTTTTGTCACATGTGATATGACTAGCAAATATAAACAGACACTGTTGAGAAACTGATTCTTAAAAAGAGGCATAGGTAATGACTGAAAGGCTAAAGTTCTTCTCCATTACAAGTAGCCTGAAGGTTTAACTTTCTCTCAGGAAAGGTGAGACACTGATGACAAAACATGATCTGCCAGCTTCTGCTCACCTGTCCCATCTCCACCTGTACCATTTCCCTCACACAGTCACACCAAGTTCATGTATACTTACTTCACATTTCCAYCATCTTATTTAATAAAACTTTGAGAATCCTAGGATCTAAGTCCAAATATTTATTTATGTTTTGGCTTTTACTGCAGCCATGGAAATAAGAATTAAGATTTTCATTAAATCTAAGAATTATAGACTACTTTATGATGCTCTTCCGTAAGAATGAACTTATTAAGAATGATTCTCTAAGAATCAGCTTATGTTTTGAGATTAATATACAAAACAAAAGCATTTTTCACGGACAAAAATAAAGCTAATTAATATTTAGTCTATCGTAAGTATTAARTCTTCTTGGCCATAGAAAATATTGATCACTTAAAAAAAATCTTACTGTCAGTATACAATTTTAGATAAATTCATGTGCACTTCTGGATGCAAAATAATGTATGGTGGGAAACGRATCTAAATGTAAATGCAAAGTTTGGGAAATGGATTCCATATTCCTAAATATCCTCTAGGACATAGAATTCAATGCTTACTTACAGTTTAATCCAAAACTTATTTCAGATTAAATTAGAAGGTTACATTAACCAACCAGAATTTACAGCATTTATTTTAGCCTTTGAGAACACTGGTGAAATTAGTTTTTGCTGTAGCTGCAGTGCAATCAATAAAGTTACATCTGAAATARGTTTGGCTCCTTGGGTGGAAGAAACAGCACATAACATTATTGAACACAATTAAAATATAAATAAATGTAACATGGGAAAAAAATCAGATCTATACTGAGAATTATCTGGTTTCCAGCATTGCAGAACATTTTCCAGGACTGCAAAGCTGAAACAGTCTCATGACCATTTCTGCAATGGTTAGAAACCTCACAGGATGAYAGGCACCGTTTACTGAGTTATATTAACCTCTCTTAAGACTGAACTATTGTAGAAGGTAACACAGGGAAAAATAGTACAGCTACTCACCAATATTTAATACACCAAAAAACGAGCTGCAAAATCCTGGCATTGTCCAGATAAAATTTGCATACAAAGCAGACATTTATCAAAGTCACAAGCAAATTGACTCAAACACTTGCCTTAGGCCCAGGASCTCCAGGTAGACCAAGTGAGCCTTCTGGTCCCATCAAACCCTATTTATTTATGAAAAAGACAGACATTTCTGTACTAAARCAGAGGAATAATGATTTCAGAATAGTATTAGTAACATCATTATTTTATTTCTTTAGAGAAGTGAACAATAAATGCAATTCCTTTCACCTTATTATAAACAGGCAATAGTTCTTGTACAGTACAGTGGATTATTCAGATTGTCTATGATCTAATGAACGACTACCTGTGCAATGGGAAAAACTATACAGGAGAAAAGAACAGTGCTATCATGTAATACTCCTGAGAGGAAAAATTCTGCAACTCAAAACCTGGTCCGTAATACAACTTTAGTTATAACCAGAAGGGACACAAAGGTTTCTTGGATTCTGTTTAGGGTTTCCAAAACAAGCAAAAGTATTTCTCTTCCTTCTTTCTGATCGTGTGTTCCTCAAAGGTTGCCATAACTTGACTCCTTTTGCAAATTTTGTGGAGATTTATCAGGAGCATTTGATTTTGGGGGCCGCACCTTTGCAACTTCTGTTAAAACTTTGAAGTTGACCTGTTCATTCAAGAGCCCAAGAGGTCCTGCCATTTCAGATCATGACACTTCAGCACATGTACAAAGCCAAAACAATCTGTTGGACTCCTCTMATGGAATCATGTTCATAAAGGCATGTTCCATACATAAAACAAGAACTAAAATGTATTAAATCATCAAAGGGTTGACTTCCTTAATTTCTGTTTAAAGTTAGCTTCAAGTACACATTAGAAAAGTACACAATCTTTCTTTGAAATTATACTTTCCACGAAGGAATTCCCATTAATCGTATTTTCCACATCTGGTGTTAACATTTGTCTTTTTCACCACTTCATCTCACTTTACTCTAGAAYTGCATGCATCAATAAAAACAATGTATTATTATTGTTATACTTGGGCTCGCATAAATACTGTGAAATACAATCTGCTATAAGAATGTGCTTAAGACACAGCACAAAAGAAAAGGATAATGATACAGAAAGTATCAGGCCTGGAATCTGGTAAGGTCTGGAAATCTAACTTGTCAGAGATTAAATGTTATCARTTCTTCCAACTGATAATATTTTCAAAACTCACTGTCTTATTGTTACTTAATCTTTACTTTCATATGAATAAAAACAACCACCTTCCATTTAGCACTAAATGTTAGGGACAATTCACTCCCATGACAATATATCAGACCTCTTTCAAAAGTTACATGTAATCAACTAAGCTTTGCAAAAAAAAAAAAAAAAAAAAACCAAACTTTTTTGCTACAACTAAAAGAATATATTTGTTTCTGCAAATAGAAGGTAAAATTCAGTGTATAAAAAACAAGAAGTAATTCTTTGTAGCCAGAGTTTTCAGAATTTAATGCATTTTCTGGTATTTCACCTGTGCTTTACCATTRACCAAAGATTAATATAAATTAACTACTGATTAATTCAGGTTTCTTTCCTGCTRTATGATAAGAAAATACTGGTCACCAAAATTTTCCATCAATAAATATAGCAACCTATTTTTAGGCCATAGGCACAGGCCTGTGAATACAAATAAACTGTATCAAACACAAGACTAAARCTTGTTGCCAATTTTCCTCAGTCTAAGACTTTTCCCGCTCAGGCAATTGCACATGAAAAATCTATTTAACTTCAATTTATCTAAATTAACTAAAATAATATATTGACTAATTTCCAACRCTTTCCTGAACTTTGAAGATTAGATATGCTTGTTCCTACTTACATGGAAAATCAGTCTTCTTATAAAGGATGATGCAGTTAATCTAGTGAAATCTATTATTTGGTAAACAAAGGTTTACTACACCCCAACCCATTTCTTTCATAATTTTGGACTAGAATTACCAATTCCTCTCCAGCTGGCTCAGAAGCTTCTGAGGACTGCTTACACCCATAAACTGAGAGACTGTGTACTCACATGAACCATTTGATTATGGACTGTGTTAAGTACCAACTTTGTTACAACAAGACTAAGAAAATAATAATTTGGTTTTGGAACCTAATCTTGATTATATTAATGCTGTCTTAATTCACRTGCACATCAGGCCTGTTTCTTCCCTTTTCCTATTTTTATTTACATAGCAAAATAAGGTTTTATTAATTTTCATTKCATTGTAAAGTTCAATTCAGTTCAGCTGTTTGAACCCAAATTTGATGTTAATCTATTTACCTCCTCACTTCTGAAATGGAGCTCTCTTCATTTTGTGATTATTTTTTTGTATTCCTTGAAGGCTACCTTCTTTATCCAAAAAACATTGTGAAATTACCATTTTCTTCTAYTCAAATTTCTGCTCTCACTGTTAACATATTAATCAATAGAGAAAAATGAGCACAAGTTTGGGCAGGTATTGTGGGAAGGGACAAGAAATGTGACTGGGAAATTTCTGGCTTCTTTCACATTGCCATCTCAGTGTAGGCCTGTGTTTCAAATCATGTAACACGCTGAGAGCCTACACTCAATCACCTCACTAGATAATTTCTAGTGAAACCTACATCAGTCCCAGGATTACAGAAGTGGCATATGCTCATCACGAGCGTCCCTCATTCATTTCATCTTGCCAAAGTAGAAATACTACACAGAATATAGCACAGAATAGTTTTTTCTTTTCAAACTGAATCAGCTATGTGTATATATTCACATTGACCTGCAAACACATACCAGAAAAGGCAAATCAGAAAATACATTCAGTGAAACTAAAGGTCAAGCATACAGCTGCACRAAAAGGAGAAATAAAATGTGTTTTTCCTGGTTTCCTTTCTTGCACTTTTATTACTAGGCCATCTTTAAGTTATTTTGTTTAAAAAAWTTCATAAAGAAACTAAATGAAATCAGCACACTGCAAGAAGAAAACTYTCAGATGCAATATAGGAAAAGCTTGAGAACTATATAAAGAGTCTGAAAACTATATAAAATTAAAAGGGAAGAGGATGTTCTGAACAAATATGTAGAACAATTTGAAGACATAAAATGTAGCATTACTCCCCTGTTTTCCAGAGCTGACATTATATGGCAGGTAAATTAATAAATTGCTGGCGTTGGCAGTGCAATAGGGATAGTCATTACTGAAGAAGAACTTGTTACTGAAAASTTTTCCCAAGCTATTAATAGACCATCCACAAGCTTTCCATCTGTTTTTTCTGGAACAAACATATTCAGCATGACTAATACAAGGAAAATCCCACTATCTTTTCTGGTTTAAATTCCCTAATGCTGTGTAACATATTCAAATATTCCATGCATCAATCTCCTATTTAATTTATCAGGTGACAAAAAATACATTAAATGAGTTAACAGGAAAGAGGAACAAATTATTTTCAAGTGAATCATGAACCAGATGTTATTTATCTAAATAAAATCTGAACAAAACATGGTAGGTGAGTGAAATAAACATGTACACTTTGTAATCCCACAAGGCTTTATTATAGCTGATGATATAGCCTTCCCTCTGGCATTTTGTTCAACTTTGCTCAGAAAGAAATGGAGAAAAATTCCAGGAATAGGCCATAAAAATAGTTAGAAGGCACAGGTGAGAGAAYAAATGTTCATGTGTTAACTCAGAGTAGGGACATTTGAACTTCCAGTTCAGGCAGTTTCATTACATTTGATCAGGACAACTGCAATAACTGGTTGTCAAGGAAATCTTTATAGAGAAGGTCTTTAGATGGCTGGAAAAGTCCTCTAAGTTCACGTAATGAAAACTAATTACTGAACTCTATACAAAAAAGGCCTTCTGATAATGTTACTGTAATGTAGTGAGCATGTTTGTAGCAGTCAGGAAAGGAAGAGCTACTACATGGATAGACAGTAAATGTATACTGTGTTGGAAATTCTGAATGTACTGGATGACAGAGTAGCCCAGAATTTTTAAAATTCCAAACTGATTTCAGTCTTTGTCTCCAACAAAAACTGAGTCAGTTTTTATTGATTATATATTTTATTAAGGAACTGTAAGAAGAAATTAGTTGAGAAAAGAAAAGAGCCATACCATGAGGAACACTCCAGCAGCAGTACATAAATGATGCTTAGGTGAGTAGTTATTTACATACTCAGATGGCTAATTTGGCATACAGTGGCTTGTAGTTATGCAAGACTGTGCATATCAAGATGGTCAAACATACATGCTGCTAACCCCCATCCAAACAGGCATTCTCTTCACAATAGGGAATACTGCAGTGGGATTTAAGCCCCAAGTAATTACAAAGTGACATCAGAAACCCCTTTGTCTATCAAAATGGATCAAATCCAGTCCGACTACCAGATGATGATTTTTATAGGGAAAGGACAAAAAAAGACAGGATAGATAAATCATGAGACACACAAGTTGTTAAACTGAACAACAAAAATCTCTTAACAACTACCGAAATCGCAGAACCTATAAAAATGTACTCTCACCTCTTGTCAAAATATCCACAGCTTAAAGTAAGAGGCTTAAAGGCAAGGGTAACAGAAAAAAAACAGATCAYAGCCCTCAGCCAGAACTTCCACACTTCAGATATGTCACTGAGCTAAAATCTTACACTTGCCATAGTTTTTCCAACCTGAAAATGTTAGTTTGCTCCTGTATTTGCCATTGAAAGTTTGTTTATGACAAGTAAAGAATGACAACACTGCAATTATTTGTTCATATTAACACAATKTTAAAACTTACAGTATCTCCTGGTGACCCTTTCGCTCCTGGTTGACCTGGTGGTCCAATTTCACCCTGGTTTTTTTTTTTTTTACACAAAGAGAAAAATTCTGTGACTAATGTGTTTATACTTACTATTTTTTTATATATATATTCTTTAATTATGCAGATTAATTTAGTTAAAATTATTTTGCAATCTATTATGAAATTAGCATGGTTGCTTTTAACCATTCATTCCTTCTGGAATAGCTGAAATAAAACCTAATGAGAGATTTTTAAGCATGCCATGAACTGTCTCCATTCTTTTGCATTATGATTTGATGTCAAACCCCCACTWTGAAAACTCTTCTCTAAGCCTGAACCCTTCAGGGAATGGGTATATATAGTACAGGTTTTAACAGTGTTTTGAATAAYTAATAGTACCTTTTGTCCTTTTGCKCCTTGATTTCCAGGGATTCCAGGAATTCCCTAAGAAGGAAAAAGAAAATCTTTTAAATATATGAAGTAACTTCACCAGAGATTTTTTAGCTTTTGCCTAAATAATTTCAGTTCAAAATTTGGCAGGGAAAGAAAAAAAAAAAAAAACCCAAAGAAAGAGCTTCAGTTGGAAGCATGCAAACTAATTTAGGGATACAGTGAAACACTAATGTTGACTCATTCCCCATTGCTTTTGTTCCAGGAGTCCATGTCTGCTGCTGGGCAGGCTCACATGCTCTTGCTCGCCCAAAACCCCRGACTGACAGAGGGAAAGAAACCACTTTACATTATCCATAATATTTCCCACATAAGTTAAAGCAAAAACCYTGGTCAACAGGACCATCAGCATGACAGACCATATCTTCTTATCTAACATACAGTGACTTTAAAGAGATGGATATAGTGGTACTTGATGTRCACTAACTGCCACCTCCATAAATACTTGAAGTTCTCTGCCATTTCCTCAGCATCATTGCTCATTCAGGTCTACAATATATCTCACATTTTTCTTACAGGGATCATTTAACTGAACATGATTCAGGTCAAAACAAAACTCCATATATGCTTGAAGCTGAGTCTACATTCAGTTCTTCTTTATTTTCTCTCAAGTAAAAACTATTCAAATTTGTTGAAAAGAAGACAATATTCTTATTTGTACCATAATTAATCTGCAGCAAGAATTTGGCTACAAACTTAATATTTTAATCTCATGTTGAAAATAATATGCAGCAGTGAAGACAAGGGGAGTGTTATACACACCACTGAAACAAATGCACTCTGTGGGAAAAAAAATWATGTGAATGTAAAAATCATAACCTGATAATTTCCACATGGATTACATCTGTACAAAAGATAGTTCAATTGTTTTGCAGTTTGCATCCCCTTTTAGTAAATAATGACCCCAGCAAGCAGAAACAGTTCATTGGCCAATGGCATACGAGTTAACAATTACATCCTGAGCATTATACAGATCATCAAAATTTCAAATTATCTACTATTAAAGGAAAAGATTAAATAATGTAGTAAAAAGAACATGAAGACAATGACTCATACTGAGACTTCTACTCAAATTACATTACAAAACTCTTCTTGCTTAAATTTTGTCCAAGACATTCTTAGATCTTTTGCAAAATAAAGAGATGGAAAATAGGGCACRTTTGTCACATTTAGAAAATTCTATACCCATCTATGAGTTCTCATTAAAATTATTTAATATAATTATTTAATAATATAATTTTAACATTTAATAATTTAGTTATTTCTGTAGCTGCAAAATATAAAACCAAATTATGAGTGCCAGTACCTCTAATACAAAACAGAATTTCACATATGTTGAAAAAGCATCCCACCAGGCAGCGACCTTCTTGTCCTGAAAGAATGTACCTAAGCATTCCATAGTTACATTTCTATGCAATTTGGAGGACTCAGAGAAGACAGTTCCACTCAATTATCCAATACAGCAAATCATTTACTATGATATAAGCATGCCTAGAAGAAGAAACACAATGTCCTGCTGAGCTGTGTTGATCTTTCTTGGTTAAAATAAATTGCTGGTACAAGAAATTTAATTTTATATCAGCAGCAAATAAAGATAAAACTCCAAGAACAACAATTGTAAAACTAAATTAAATTTCCTTCCCCCSTTCCTTTTTTTTCTTTTCTGCCTGATCCTGAACTACTGAAGTACCTGGAACTTAGGCCCTTCAGTCAGTGAGAGCTGATCCAGACCTGGATATATATATATATAATTCTGATATAGTTCATTGACATTCACTCAGCTAAGAATGAATCTATCACTTATGCTGATATAAGTGATTTCCAGGGTACATGGAGTGCAGATTTTCAGTTACTCTCTACATGTCAGCTGACCTAAAAGGGGAAGAATTAAGTGGCTAATTTGTTTAGCTACTCATTAGAATGAGTATTTCCCACAAGAGTTATTTCTTTTTCGTAGCTTCCACGGTTCAATAATTACAAAGACTAATTTTTGAAGGACCAGCTCCAGAATACCTAAAAAAACTAAAACCGGTTTCCYTCTCATTATTATCCCAACATATTACTTCCTTTTACATGGAAAATCTCTGGCTATGCCAATTAGAATTATCTACACTTTCTCAGAAGACAAGGTTAAAAGGCAGTTTAGATATCATGAGTTTCTTACCTAACTTCTAAGTCCAAAGCCAAATCAAACTTTGGAAATGTGTTTTGTTCCCAAACASAGATTTCAGACACAACACACATTCTCAGAATCTCAGCACCTTTTTTTTAGCCCCCTGAATAACATGACATTTTTAATAGGAAGTTAGGTTTAATAAGATGGCATGACATTAAATAAACTGCCAAAGAAACTTTAATTATCAAAAAATGCATTCTTACTTTAAAGTATGAGGCAAAGCAATTAGCTTTACTCCAATTGTAAGACAAAAATGTAACTTTTTTTGAAGGGTATATTGCAATGCAGATTATCACAAATGCCTGTCTTTAATCAAAACTTAATATGAAACACATTCATCATGCAATTTTTCTGCCACTAAGGGAAAAACAATGTTTGGAACTGCTACAAATGGGAAAATTGCCACCCACTGGGAGTAATAGAATCAATGCTGTGGAATAATTCATGATTCACAGGCCTATAGAAAAAAACCTGCCTTTGGGGATGTCCTCTGCAAAGCTATCAAGCACATTTTGTTCATATGAAAAGAAGTTGTAATTCTAAATTTTCTGTTTCCTTGTCTTTCCAGAAAATTCATGTTAAATGGTTTGCATATATCACATATGCTGTTATAATACATACACAACATAGCATTACATTTCTAGCCAGAATAGCTAAAAACCAAACCACCTACTGTGCTTTACTGATTTCTGTCCTTATATGAGTTGGAGCACCTCTATTCTGAATTAGTTAATTTGCTCCCCTTTTTCTTTTAAATCAAACTTCATATAAGGTTTATTCAGTGTTTCTTCATATTTAAGAATTAAGTTAATTGCAAGCACTGCCTCAATTGTTCTAGAATCATCAATTTGACTTTGTCGATTTCCATTATTTCATTCCAATGTCTTCCTCCTTTATTTGAAATTTTCCATTAAATAGGGACTCTTCCCTTTCCCCATAAAAGCCTGTAATATTATTCATTATTTTAGCCTTAATCAGAAAGTGCTATAATCACATGAAATTTAAAGCCAGCAAGACACTCTAGCAAATCTAATTCCTCAGTTTAAAATTATGTTCATTCTAAAATTTCTCAACTGAAGTTTGTGCCTAAAAACTAATATGATCAAGTACCAGTCCAGCAGCTAACCAAGATTTTTTGAGACTGGGTAACGACTGCTGTCCTTATCCTTTATTCAGCCTTTGTTGCTTGTTTAATCATTTATCTTCCACCCTGTGTCACCTACGTGTGCCTAAAAGCCTGTCAGCTTTCTAAGCTTTGGTTAGACCTRGGGAGGCTTTGCAGGGCAACCCCAGGATCTAAAGTGACACCTGAATGCCATGCAGATAATTGAAATAATCTCCGGTGTCACGGCAGGAGCTGTGGGATAGCAGATCTACCCTCTGAAAAAGATGTCCCTCTGCCCTTAAAAACTGTGTTGAGCCTGCCAAATGCTGCAGTTGTCCTCATACATCTCCAAYGGCCCTTGGTGACCATGCCCAGGCAGCCAAATCCCACACACCCTGATGCCTACTTCTGTCTCAGTATCATCACAAGATGAAGCTCATCTTKGTATGCAACTAAATCCCTGGATGCAGTCTTCCTCTGCTGCAGCCCACACAGAACACCCAGAACATCCAAAAGCTTTAATTTGTTCCTATTGTGATGATGAACTGCAATTATGACAGTTATCAAATTCTGTATATTCTATTTTGTTCCAGTTTTARCAATTTAAATAAAACTTCCATTCTTTGATAATATCTGGCAGATACAATGGATTTAAGTACAAGAGGAAAATGTTTTCACAATCCCTGGAAAAAATTTCTTGTAGCTTTCATTAATCTTTAGGTGTCTATTTTTGTTTTGGATTATATTAAACAGATGGATTTTCTTCCATGCAGCCCCACAAAAAAATCCATYAAGGAAATTGCCTGAGGCTTTACATACAACTTAACTAGGTGCAACCACTTTTATCTAAGATGCAARTAACATTTCTCAGAATATTTGCCACTTTTTCTAGCTAGAACCATGGATTATTTGCATGCCCCTCATGTTTAACTTTATGCTTGCAAAGAGCAGAAGAAACCACACAGACCTTTTTCCAGAACAAAATAAAACTTATTTTAGTCTTAAAATAAGTATATATTAGCTTATTCTATTCTTTCTTGTCTTCTAATGCCATTAATATTCCCCATTTCTTCAGTGTCTGGTAGGACAGTATGCCTTATTCTGGAAAGTAGGAGTTTYTAGGGTACAGGTAACATATCAGAATCATAAAATTTCTCTGGAAGATATGAAATTATAGAGTATTTCCAATAGCTCTTCTGTTACAAGCAAACTGCTTTGCAATAAATCCCCCAGGTAGATGTAGAGAACATTTGTATAATTGTCTTTATTATCTTATTTTCTTCTAATAAAAAAGATGTCTTTTCTATCATAGATGAGTTCTSTGATTTATGTTTCAATCAAATGGCTCCTTCCGCTCTGAAAAATTTGAAATTCGGATTCTGGGAAAACCCAAAGGACATTACATGAATTACAGCAATAGAACGGATACACAAAAAATATCTATCTATCCACATGGTCCCTTTAAACACCTGAAAAATACAACTCTTTATGTATTATTGATCCTTACTTGAAAAAGCCAACTTGATGATACATGAGAGATTTACTGGAGGCATGCAAAAGAGCACAAGTCRCGCCATAATTTGCATGAAAGTGCAACCAAAGAAAAACCACTTTTTTAAAAGATTACAGCAAATCCTTGATAATCCTAAYAGAATGAAAGACACAAACCAAATTTGGATAATGTATAAAACTGGAAAAGAAATTCAATGAAGC